TGAGTGAGTGGCATTCTTCTAGCCCACCTGTTATTTATGTGAACAAGTTTTCTCAACACTTTCATCTGTAACAAGTGCTCAACACCTATGCAAATGAAAGCCAGAAACACAATGGATATGGACGTCATCCATTGATCCTGGAATTAATCAGAAGGAGGAAAAGGCTCCATCTGTTTATAAAATTAAGAGATGTCCCACTCATTTTTACTTTTTAAGTTTAATTAATGTCAAAATGTATTATTTTAAAAATGTTTTTATGTTGTTTTAATTGACTGTGATTTAAAAAAAAAATTTAAGTGCCCTATCATGAAAGAAAAGAAAAGCTTACCTATCAGTTTATGAACATAATTTGTGGAAGAGAAGTGAGACAGAGAGACCAATAAGAGACTTTCAAGCATGTAAATATATTACAACAGGATAAATATTTGTAGAGGAAATGGAATGGGAGTAGTTCAAGGCAAAAAAGAGGAACAATATAAAATGTCCCAAATGTTAAAAAATCTTCCTGTACAAGACCAAGAGTGAGTCCTAATGTCAGCTATAGACTCTGGGTGACAATGATGTGTCAGCGTACGTTCACTGACTGTGACAAATACGCCACTGTGGTGGGGGACATTGATAGTGGGAGAAGCAGTGCGTGTGCAGGACCCGGGGTTGTGGGAACTCCCTGTGCTTTTCAGTTTTACTGTGAATCTGCTCTAAAACATGAAGACTATTTAAAGAAAGCTTATTCATGTACTTCTTAAATGGACACTCATGGGAATCAAATTGCCATTGAACTGTACTTAGATTCCACTGGATAGTTTTTTAAACTGTGAAAATTTGAAATATGTTGGACATTGCACTCTTGGCATCTATTTAAACTTGTGATGAAAAAGTCTGGATGTCTACCAACAAATGTACGAGGTGGCACGTGGTTTTTGAAACGTCTTCGAGGGGGAATGCATGCACGGAATATGCATTCGTAGATGCGGCTGCCACCTGAGGTTGGCCACACGGGCTGTGCAGGAACAGAGGGGCGAGCACAGGAAGGGCGTCTACTGAGAGTGAGGGGAACGACCCAGCTGTGTACAGGGACAGAGAGTGACAGAGAGAGACGGAGGCTTGGGGGAGGGCTCGGGCCAAGATGCTCCATCCTCAGAGCCAGTCCCTGGGAGGCCTATCCGTACTTCCCATCTTTCACTCCATGAGATGCCTCTGGATTCTTAAATAATCACTCTGAAAAAATCTTAGTTAGAGCAGTATCGGTTCTCATGACCCAGTGCTCCCCAGTGACGGTGATGGCAGGGAGCTGACAGTGTCTGTGCATTCAGCAATGCTCGGAAGAGTCAGTGATGGTCTTGGACCCTCACCAAAGCTCAGCAGTTAGACTCATACACAGTTCCTGCCTCTTGGGAGTGAAGTTAAAGCAATGACTGTTCCAAAAAGCTGATAAATTGTTCTTAAGTGTATAATGGCAACCAATGGGAGAATTTATTGCGAGTTGTTCTGATTTTTGTTCTCATTTTAAAATGGGGTGATCTGTTGTTATCTTCCAAAGTATAGATGAATCGTCCTTTTGGAATTCCTTCCTATTTAAGCATTTTTTGGCCCACAAATTTTCAGAACCTTGTTTCTCTCCATAAACTTATTATAGATAACTTTATTGTAGATGACTGCTGAAATTCAGTTGAGATCCAACCAGTTTACCTTTATACATAACTTCACGACATATCAAGCAGTTTTCCTGCTGGATTTGGTCCCGTGAGATGGGAAGTACAGCAGCACCACCATCTTACTAACTGAGAAGCTGTACATTCAGGTGTTGTCAAAGAGCACACCTAGGTTACGTACACAGTGGACAACATTTGAAACCCAGGTGTGAAAAGTCACTTTTCCAATCATCAGTGGAAGAGGATGCCTTGTAATTATGCCCACATACACACGTCACTAATGTCTCCAAATTCTTACTTACTGTTGTTACTGATAATTGAGCTCAAAGCCTTTATTTGCATTCATTGTATTGCCTTCTCTCCAGCCCTACTGCCAGAATAAGTAATTTGTTAAAAGACTCCTATTAAGTATTGAAGATTTCAGTATCAAGATTTTTAAGTATGAAATTTTACACAGTTTTGTATGGTTTAGTAATTTTCCAGAAGAACTGAGGAAAATATGGCCCAGGTGAGCTCTTTCTTAGTCAAGCTGCATATAAATGTTAATCCATCTGTCTTGGTCTGTTTTCTGTTGCTATAACAGAATACCTGAGACAGGTAATTTTTAAAGAAAATAAGTTTATTTTGCTCATGGTTTTGGAGGCGGGGAAGCCCAAGGGCGTGGCGGTAGCCTCTGGTGAGGGCTTTCATACTGTGTCATAATATGGCAGAATAGCAGAAGGGCAAGTGAGCGGGGGCGAAAGAGACCGCAGGAGTGAGCTGAGCTTGCTTTCATAACAAGCTGCTCTTGCAACAGCTGACTGACTCCCGAGAGAACTATTTTACTCTGGAGAGAACTCATTCACTTCTGAGATAAGGGCATTAATCTACTCATGCCAATCATCTCTTAAAGACCCCACTTCTCAATACTGTTGCATTGGCAATTAGGTTTCCAACACATGAACTTTTGGGGGACACATTCAGCTGCAGCACCATCTTTTATACATGAAAGGGGCCAAGGGTAGGCTAAGAACAAAAAGACTGACTTTGAAGTCATGTATGCAGATTCCAAGGAGAACGACAGAATTTGAACTTTCATGCACCCTGGATATACACGTGCAGATCTATGGGAATCTGCATTCTTATTTCCTAGGGGCATAGAGGATGTCATTTACCATGCAAGATAATGTGATGGTTAGATAGCACATGGTTCTCAAGGACTGGTGAGCTGGGCCAGGCCTTTGCATGCACTTTTGTACAGAAAGTAGAATAATAAACTTGGGCTTGTTCTGATCTGCACCTCCTGGGATCAGTCTTTTCCCACTGTGCAAAACTGAGCCACTTTAGTAACTTTGGAGTCAACTGATTCCACTTGTGGCATTGTTGCAATAGCTGTATTCAATTTATCTTGTCTGAGGACTACCACAGTTGCTAAGTGCACCAATGTCATTGTGGGTTTCCTTTAGTCTGGAGAGCTCTGGACAGAATAATTAATCTGTGAGAACTGCTCATCAACATCCTCAATGATAGCCTTAAGATCAAACAAAGGCCTATCTTTGATCTCAGTTTTCTCATTTGTAAAGGAGGAATTAAAATACATCTTTTTTTTTTTTTTTTGCTTTTTTAAAATTTCAGCATATTATGGAGATACAAATGTTTAGGTTATGTATACTGCCTTTGCCCTGCCCAAGTCAGAGCTTCAAGCGTGTCCATCCCCCGGATGGTGCTCACTGCACCCATTATATGGGAATATACCCATCCCCTCCACCCCCCTCCCACCTGCCCGACACCTGATGAATGTTATTACTATATGTGCACTTAAGTGTTTATCAGTTAATACCAATTTTATAGTGAATACATGTGGTGCTGGTTTTTCCATTCTTGGGATACTTCACTTAGTAGAATGGGCTCCAGCTCTGTCCAGGATAATACAAGAGGTGCTAGATCACCATTGTTTTTTGACAACATCTTTCTTAATCCTTACAGTTGTAAAGATTAATGATAATATATGCACAGCACCTACCCTAGCATATAGCAGGTATTAAGTAAACAGAAATAGTTTATTATTGCTCCTGGCAATTTCCCTCTTCTCCTGGATCATCGGTTTATTTTCCCTGCATTTGGTAACAAGTAGCCTTTATTACAAACTTCCGGGGAAATGAGTTCCTAGGTCTGACACGTTAAGATTTGAAGTGTCAGTTCCCATCAGTATCCTTATCAGCAGAAGTTTCACTTTGCAATCACAGAGGGGAGTCCCTTAACACAAGGAAAGTTTCTGGGGAATATGAGGACAGAGACAAAAATCCAGTTGATTACTTTCTCCTTTTGTAAATGCCTCTGGTCTAAGGATAGGCTGGATGGGGGAACTCTCAGCAATGGAAAGATTTCCACTATCTCACAAGAAAAGGAAAGCGACTCAAGGAAAAATTTAGGGGCACATATCTAACATTTATAGATAAAATATTGTCCATCTGATAGAAAATACTTAAGTGAAATGTGTAAATTTCATGCTAAATATGCAATGTGTAAAAAGAGTTTGTTTTAGAAGGAGAGGGAGAAAGCATGTTTAGGGCCAAGGCAAACATGTTCCTCTCCCAACCTATTTCTCTTCTTGTGCTTCCTCCCCCAGCGAATGCCACCAGAATCTACCCATTTCCTTGCCTGAAACCAGGGTGTCATCCTTGTCTCCTTCTACATCTCTCTATTATCCTAGCAGCCAACTGATCACCATATTCTATAAAATATACCCCCTAAATATCTCCAACACCTTCCACATAGGTGTTGGATAAAGCTTCTCTTCCATTTCTAACATTCTTTGATTTTCCTTAAAAAAAAAAAAATAAAGACCTTCATGCAATTACCATTGCTTGAGGCCTCAGCAACACCCCTGTAACACATGACTTAAAGGAATAATTTTCAAAATGAAGAACAATGATTTTTACTTGCATAGATTATTTGAAGGATGGAATCAAAATAATTTGTATATTTTTAGTTATCCCAGTTAACAATAGAGCAATAACATCCAAATACAAACAATGAAGAAAAGAGCATCTTTCAAACGGGAAGCATTGATAACCAATAGTACGTCAAGGTATATTGGATAGAGCCAAACAGAAACAGAGAAGAGGAGAAGGATTAGACAACAACAGATATTAATAGATATGTGTTGGATTGTGAATGAAAAGAAACAAAGTGGATTTTTTTCTTTCTGAACCCTTCAAAGGGCTGTTAGTTTATACATGGCCTAAGAGCTGAGTTTGCTTTTATTTGAAAAGAATATACTTATAAATGGTGTGGTTTGTAAACAGGCAACATTAAAGAAAAATCCTCTATATTTTATATGGTTTAACAATACACAGGACATCTTACCTGGGGGTTTTTAAATACAGCATACTTTTCTTCTTTTTCCAAAAATAGTACTCTATTTTCTGTGTCTCTTGTCCAGTCTGATAAGACTTCAACAACATTTTCATGGTCTTCAAAAAACCTCTCTGATGAAATAAGAAAACGTATTCTTTCAGACCCAAAACATCAGGGTTTCTGAGAAACAAACTATTGTTGAATTAGACACAATGCTTCATAGTTTTCACCAGGTTTCTAAGATTCTTAATTCTCACATGACACCATACTGTAACATTCCCATAATGTTAAACTTCTAGGGTCAGGCCTTCAGTTTGTTCTCCATAAAAAACAAGGTGGAAGAACCCGTAATACAGTGACAATGATCAGTTTTAACACTTTTTTCTTTCTTTCGTTTTTTCCCCAGAGATGGGGTCTCACTATGTTGCCCAGGCTGAAGTGCAATGGCCACTGACAGGCATGATCATAGAGCACTGCAGCCTCAAACCCATGGGCTCAAGCAATCCCCCTGCCTCAGCCTCCTGAGTAGCTGGAACTACAGGTACACCACTGTACCTGGCGATGTACTATTTTCATATTAGCATTTTTTTCTTTAAATAGTCCCAGGTGGTGGAAACAGTCTATCTGTGAGGAGGGCATCAATGACTGTTTAAACAGTGTGAATGAAATTGTGAAATCCACAGGCATACTCTAAAACGTCACTCCTTAAAACTCTAAAAATGACATAGGGCTACCCGAACTAAACTTAAACATAAAGGAAGGCTTTCATCTCTTTCCTTGATTCATACAATTGAAGGAAACTTCAGCTGTAGCCCATTGCTGGAAAGGGGACTTACCAATTTGTAGTTCTGGGTATATTTCATAGAGACACCAGTCTACATTGCAGTCACAGTGAGTTTTCTCAAAAAGGTTGTCCAGAACATCTCGGGCCAACTGCCGCTCATCCACCATCAGTGACTTCGTGCTGTTGTCGTCCATGTGCACCTTGACGACAAGCTGAGGATAAAGCCATGAAGCAGCCAGTAAATTTCAGCAACTGGAGAAGGCCACTAAGATTAAGGTTTCAAAGTCGCTATTGTTTCTGCAAAGTTAGGTAAGAATGTGTTCTGTGAACTCATTCGATCTAAACTTATTAACACTTATATGCCAGGTTCCTGTTTTAGGTGCTAGGAATACAGAGGTGGAGAAACCAATATACAAAAGCACAAAACAATGAACAAAGTCCTTGCTGAGCATTCAGGGACTTGGCATTCTGTAGGAGATTCAGAAAACAAACAGAACCCAAGAAGCTCTGACTTCCTTCTTTCCCGACAACATTCCCTGTTACTTGTTCTGTCCTGGAGCCCAGAAACATTTCTTGATTGAAAGCCATGCCTGTATCTTATAATAAATTCTTCTCTTTTGCTTGGCTGAAAAGCAACCCAAGAGTCTGAAGACACCAGGTGAGACCAAGGTGGTTAATCTACAATTCTCTGAAGGTCCACATAGTGTACCGCGACACAGTCCACTGCAGGGCCTCAGTCAGAGGCAGATTGTGGTACAGCACACACAGCTGAGATCAGAGGTGGATTACGTGAAATGAATGTGGACAGAGAAACAAGCTGTTCTGGAGGCATGCAGGCAAATGATGATCTCACTTACTTTTTATTCCATTTTAAAAAAAAATTCTATTGGATTGAATTCACAATCAAATTAGTAGTTACCTCATTTCAAATCTGGAGTTTGGTGGGAGCAGAACTTACTTATCAATGGCTTTTTCTAGGCAACTTGTCAAAGTTATTAAACCTTCTGATTTTGAGGTAATGCAACAGTTAGTTCATGAAGTGATGCAGTGAGGCTCTGGATTTTCTTTGATAGCTGTGTATTTGTAGCATATCTGCCCAGGGCTGGTCATAGTTATTTGCCGATGAGACTCGCCATCATTAAAAAAGTGATTTGACGGGCAGGAAAGGAGGAGGAGGCCATAACATAGGTAACATTTCTTCCTGTCCAAGAGTTTGGCTTAGGGTCTGAGCAGATGGGAAACTGCACTTTCTGCCTCATGCCCGCCTGACTTGACCTTGAAGACACTCTGCTGTGGCCAGACTGAAGAATGCAGTTCCTGCAGAGTGTTGGGCGGGGTTACGACGGCCACCGAGGGGTGCTGAGCATGCGCGCACGGTGGTAAAAGCCTGGGTGAGGCGCACGCAACAACCACAGCTGAAGCGCTTACGCAGCGCCTTCTCTTCCCAACACGCAGCCACGCGTCAAAACGTAGACACTGGGCAATCAAAGCACACTTCCTCCTCCAGGGACCATTCAAACGAGCCCCTGCTTGCAGGCTTGCCTGAAGAATTTTTTTTCCCCTTGAAAACCTGTAGTTGGATAGTTGCTTTTTTCCTGCATTTGTCTTTTTATATATTTAAAATTCTAGGCCCAGGTACCACAGTGTCAAAGATACATTCATCTGACCTTAGAAATAAGTATTGGGGAGTTGCTTGGAAAAATAGAAATTCCTCAAATAGTGGTCTCTACTACGATCTATGTTCTGTAGAAGGCATATTTACTGCTCTCTGCTGAGAATTACTGCTATAAAGTAGCTGCATGTGCTAAGAAACACTACCAACTTTGGGGCTTAGAAAATTTAATATTCTTGATGGAAAAATTAATGATGTTTGATCACATTTATTCCTGTTTAGGAATTCTTGAGAAAATAAAACATATGTTGGTGTTTTCTTTTGTTTTTATACAGAGAAAAACAATACTAAACCACATAATTTGGCAATGATGAAAGGTTTTTGAAAATTTATTTTTTGCAGAAATTGCAAACTTGATTTAATTCACATGTACTTACGAATGTCCACAATCACAGAATTTAGAAAACAAAAAAACAAGAGAAGGCTGGTGACATTTAACAAGAAGGAATCGTATTTACTATTCTCCACAGTTCCCTCACATTAGCAAGCTGAAGAGTAGCTCTGTACCAACACACAGCAACATGAAATCACAGTCATGTGACTTAGCAAGCTAAATTAGAGTTAAGTGATTTAGCCAGCCAAGTACTTTTGTATTTACACTATATGATATGGGGCAAAATGATTCAAGAACAAAAAATACATCATTTTTCGAATCCATTGAAGATTTTATAGTTTATATAATTTGTTCTTATTTTTCTTTTGAAAGTTGTTAAATACAAAAATATCCTAGCCCTAAATCATATCTATATGATATGATATATATGATATGATAGATGTGATACATAGTTTCTAAAATAAGATTTACAAGTAGAATTGTTCTTCTGTGTCCCAAGGCTTTCAAACAAATAAAACTAACGCACATGTCTGATTTCACTTCTGGTGCCAAAATCTTTATACCACAAGCTGTGTACATCATTTGTAATTCAAAATGATGTCAACAGCCCACAGAATACTCGAGGGCAAAGTACTTCAGATAGACTTGATTTCCATCCTTTAAAAACACGTTGTAGATTATGTGTGAGTACACTGCAGTTACTTTCTTAAAGTATGAGTATGTCTCAGTTATTTTTAATATTCTGTGCCATGGACACAGAACAGAAATACATTTGGAGCGTTTGAAATCAGAACAAATCCATAACTTATCTTCATAATTTTCTTTCCTTTCCCATGAATCAAGTGGCTTCTGTATTACATCTCCTTTGTTGAATAAAGGCAGGTTGTGCTTCGTGTCTGCCATTATAATTCATCTAAACTAAATCGTGGCAAAGCTCTCTTGCTTTCTGATATAGGCAGGAAATACCTGCTATGCTCTCCTGTTCTCTTAATCTCCAGCTGAAGCAAACAGATGGAATTTGCTAGTTGTTCTACCGTTTTATCTAAGAAACAGCTTCTCTTTTCCTTTCCCATCTGAAAATATATATAATGTGGCCGTCATTTTATAAATAATGCAGGGTGGAATTTACTTTTGCCCATTTTCTTTTGTCTTTTTACCTCCAGAGGTAACGTCAGTGACTCAGTGCGCCCATCCTCACCCGCTGCGCATGTGTGACTCAATTCAACACACGTTATCCATGTGTAAGGTTTTGTGCTAGAACCCTGCTCTCACCCCTTACCCCTACAACCCTCTCTCCACAAAGTGGCCAGTATGACCTTTAAAAACCATATGTTAATCTCATACACCCTGTTTACAACCCTCAAATGTCTTCCCATTGCACTTGCAACACAACCCAAACTCCTCCTCCAGCCTGGGAGGGACCCTGTGGCTCCCACCTCTCTGTCCTCAGTTCCTTCCTTTGCTTTTCTCAATGGCTCGTTGAGCAATGACTACACACAGACCTTCACTTCTCCCAAAACCCATCCTTCCCTGTCTAGTCCCTCGGCCCGGGATGGCTCTCCTGCATCACACTGTGTGTACTGGCTGCTTTACTAGAGAGCCACCTCCTTCGATGGTCTCCTTATCCCCAAATCCATCTGGAAGAGTCTCCTGGGTCCCCCCTGTCACTTCTTCCTGGTTTGTTTCCTTGAGAGCGCTCATCTCCCCCGTGCGACCTCACCTGACTTGTTCACCTCTGTGCATGCCTGCCCCTGTTCTGAGAGATGGAACCACACTGGCAAAGAGAAGAGACAGAAGTCCCTGGAGGAGCTCCCAGGGGCTGGGGACAGGATACAGGCAGCACATGCGATAGGCGGGCAGGGCAGAGAGCCCCTTGGATGGTGTTAAGCACTGAGGGAACAACAGAGGAGGGAAGGTTCTGGCGTACTGGGGACGTGTGTGCAGTGTCGGGAAGGCCCGGCTGAGAAGGTGACCAAAGACTTAAAGGAGGGATGTCACCAACCTACCCAGAATCTGGGGATGTGGGAGGGGAACCGCAAAGTGCCAAGGTCCTGAGGCAAGGGCAGGCCTGTAGCATCCGAGGAGCGGCCGAGAGACCAGGTAACTAGAACGGGGTGGCCAAGGGGGCGACCCATGGTGACTGGCAGGCAGATCATGTGTGTGTGGGGCATTGGAGGGGTCTGGCCTCACTGTGCGAGACGGGCAGCCATGGGAGACTTTTGAGCAGAGGAGGACAAGAAGAGGAAAGCTGAACTGGAGCCCAAGAAGAGAGGCTGGTCTTGGAAACATGATGGTCTATGCATAGTGCCAGGAAAGAATGTGGGGCGCATGGGGACAGGGGCAGGTAGGTAAATGTCTTGGTGGAGCTGCTACAACTTTTCTTTTGATCGCTTCTATTTTCTCTGTGAAATGGGTAGCAAAATCATTAGCTGAGAGAATTCAGATGAAGAAAGAGGTTTTGGAGGTTTTATAAGTGACGGCAAGGCATAAATGGTTTTCTAGGTTAGTGGGGGAGTGATTGGGCCAGGGAAGCTCGGGCAGCACTGATGGCCCAGGACGGAGCTGGGGGAGGGTTGGGTTGAACCAGGGTTCTCTGAGAGGCAGCAGAGAGCAAGAATGTAGCACTACAGTGATGGACTGTGAAATTTAATCACATGCAGAGAGCAGGGGAGAAGAATGGTGAAGCAGCTCATGCATGTTTGGAATGAATGGAACTAGATTGATCTGGGAAGATTCTCCCAGATGAACAGTGAAAGTCTGGATCTGAGGATAGTCAAAGACTATTTACTGAATATCAATCGACACGTGTTGATTCAAAGAACTGTGATAGGTGCAGTGGGAATATAAAGTGTAAAGAAAGCCCTACACGAAAAGGACAATTCACCCAACAACTTATTCTTTTCTTTTTTTTAGAGATAGGGTCTCACTCTGTCGCCCAGGCTGTAGTGCAGTGGCTCGATCAGAGCTCACTGTAATCTTCAACTCATGGGCTCAAGTGATCCTCCTGTCTCAGCCTCCTGAGTAGCTGGTACTTCAGGCACGTGTCACCACATCCAATTAATTTTTATTTCTTTGTAGAGATGGGGCCTCACTATGTTGTCCAGGCTGGTCTTAAACTCCTGTCCTCAAGTGATCCTTCCACCTCAGCCTTTCAAAGGGGTAGGTAGGATTACAGGTGTGAGTCACTGCGCCTAGCCAGTAAAAAGTTCTTAACAAGTCTCAGAGATGTTACACGCTTCAGGAGTTGAAATAAAATAAAGACTCTTTCATCTTTCCCTGAATTTACCAAACTATTATTAACACTTAATTATTAGGTATCTGCTTCTTTTTTTTTTTTTTTTTTGAGACAGAGTCTTGCTTTGTTGCCCAGGCTAGAGTGAATGCCATGGCATCAGCCTAGCTCACAGCAACCTCAATCTCCTGGGTTCAAGCAATCCTTCTGCCTCAGCCTCCCGAGTGGCTGGGACTAAAGGCATGCACCACCATGCCTGGCTAATTTTTTCTATACAAATTAGTTGGCCAATTAATTTCTTTCTATTTATAGTAGACACGAGGTCTCGCTCTTGCTCAGGCTGGTTTCAAACTCCTGATCTTGAGCAATCCGCCTGCCTCAGCCTCCCAGAGTGCTAGGATTATGGGCGTGAGCCACCGCGCCCAGCCAGGTATCTGCTTCTAATGAGGTCAAATACATGTGTTTCTGTTAGAATACAACACACGTGTTCCTGAAAAACTTACCCTCTGCAAAAAAAAAAAAGTGCACAATAAAGTTACAGTCTCATTGGGAAAGTAGATTTGGGGCAGATCACTCAAAACCTATGCAACTTTGAAACCAGAACAGCAGCAGAAACAGCATTTGGCACCCTAGGGACAAGTTGGATATCTAGGGCTGGCAGCAGGGCTGGAGGCTGCCCCAGGGGATATGAAAAATGCACAGAAGCAATTGTGGGAATGCAGAGACTGGACCAAGGGAAGCTGAGTGCTGACCCAGTTAAGGCCGCCCCCGAAGGTGGCGCCACCTGCTACCAGCTTAGAGCCCTGCAAAGGCCCGGGGAGGGCCCTCCAGAGAGGGGGCCTTGTTTGTAACAAACTTATTGTTAAATTTTTTACAGTAGAGCTGAAAGAACCTCTGCCTATGCAGCAGCCCAGCCAGGGGCCTTTTGCTTTCCTGTTGAAGGTATAATTCCACCGCCACTATTTCAGTTCCCAGGAAAAATCATGCATAAACCAACAAAAAAATCATGCACAAGCCAAGGAGACATCCCCATTTATACTAACACAGGCCCCTATTTATCAATTACAATTGAGCTAACTGATGTCACAGAAAGAATAATGATATAACTTATCTTTATAATTTATATAATTATATCATTTATCTTTGTCCTTAAAATTAAAAAAAATTACCGCTGTTTGGAAAATACCACTCAACATTTTTAAGATTTTTATCATTAAGTATAATCAGATGGCATTAATTTAACTCCCCCCATGTGAAAGTGATTCATAGTTTACCTTCTTAACCTTGGCCTCCTTAAGCTTTTCCAACGCCAGCTTAATTTTATCAGCCTTGGCTTGGGCTTCTTCTTCTTCCTGCAAAAAGGCAAGATATTCAACGCAGTCCATCCAATAATACCCGTGAGTAATTACCTGTGTCATTGCTAGTGTCTTAGTTACTTTATATTAACAAAAGGTGCCAAATGGCTCGTGTTTTAGAATTTAAATGACTATAACAAAAATCTTAAACTCACGGAGATAGAAGGCAGTCACCCTTGATAGCTTGGGTATAGTAACTTTAAAAAGATGAAATTCTAAGTTTAACAGTGCTTCACATATTTAGACCACAAAAATCTCAGCTTGGCTCACAAACTGGGATCTAACCTAAGGAATCTATAGATGGATCCATTGTAACTGATTCAAACACTCTCTGAAATTATATGCATATTTTTGGATCAGAATGTCTTTTTTTGGATTCCTAGTTTTTACTGGATTCTTAGAAGGAGTCTTTTTTTTTGCTGCAGTAAATTTAGGTGTTTGATTTAATAGTAATGTTCCTTTTAATTTATTTTATTTTGTATTTTTAATTGACACATGATGATTGTACATATTTATGGGGTTTTGACATATATAATGTACAGTGATTGGATCAGGGTAATTAGCATATCCATCTCTTAAACATTTATCATTTCTTTGTGTTGCGAACATTCAATATCCTCTGATGTCCTGAAAGTTAAGACTTGGACTCAAACTTATAATTCACCAAAAAAAGCACTGAAAGCCAGCAGAAAAGAGAGTGAAGTATTTTTTTGGCTTTTGTTCCTCTAATGAGTGAAGTATTTTATGAGCTCAAAGCCCTTTGATTTTTGCAAGCTAATATTCCAAGAATAAGATTTTTAAGACAGTTCTCTTTAATGATTGAGGAAATGAACTGGTTACACTCTAATTACTTGAAAAAAAAATATATATATACACACACACATATATATATGTTCTTATATCAGCAATTCCTAAATTGTTTTTGAGCCACAAGCCCCTGTGAGGATACGTGGCATGCAAAGAAGAAGTTTCACAAACGCATTCAACTTTGTATTTTCTTTTGAGGGATTCATGCCCCTCGAAATCTTCAGGGACCCTACATTAAGAGCCTCTGCTCTATATTAATCACCAATTTGCAAATAATTTTTCCATTGGGGGGATAAAAAAAAAGACAAATAATTTTTCCCAAATAAATACACAATAGAGCAATGAGTGTGACAGAGTATGATTTAATATTTAATTCAAATTTAATATTTGTTCATTGAGAAGACATTGTGGGAACTGTCAGGGTTGCTAGGGTCATATTTATGAATCGTGATCATCAGGTACAACAAACGTAGAAGCTGCAGGACACTGCGCTGGGTTCTCCTCTAACATGTTTCTAAGTGGCTGATTCTAAGAAAAACCCTTAATAGTGGTTTTTTTTCTTTTATGAGAGACATAATTATTATAAGTTAATGTCACAAATAATGACAATTCAAATTTTCCAGGTGCTTGTTTTCCAATATTCAGAAATTTCTCACTATCAGGCTCCCATCTCCTGTCTGCCTTATAACACCTCTTCCCCAACTACAGTGTCACAAGTGATACTTGGATATATCTTTATCCTACTGCACAGGGCTGCTGAATTCAACAAAATTCACTTTAGCTCAATTCAGAAAATGTGTAATGAATATCTTCTATTCTCTATGTCCTGGGCTAGGACAAGGGACATGGAAATATGTAAATCAGTTCCATAGTTCCTAAGATGTTAATAAAACATTTCCCCAACAGGTTGAGTGTTATCAGGGAGTGTCTGTATATATACTTTTTAACCAAACTATAATAAATCATGAATATAGCCCTAGCATGTTCTTTATACACACCCACGCATCTCGTCTAGGGAGGGCTCTGGCTTTGCAATGAACATGCTCAGGATCCTTGTTTTTTAGTATCACTGAGCTTTGGGCATATAAACTTATGAATGCAATCATCGCGTTAAAGAACGTCAAAGGTGAAAGGTAGCAGAGATCAGTGGTCCTGCTGTCGTCTCTGGCCCCCCACACTTACCCGAGAGAGAGGTTCAGGAGGGGGTGGTGGTGGTGGCAGTGGAAGGTCTAACACAGGATCAGCCGGTGGAGGTGGCAAATCATCCACACGGGCTGCGGCGACATTTGCTCCATAACCCAGGGAGCCTGCACCACTGAAATTTGATGCCTCTGGAGATGCTGAGTGATGCTGATTCTGCAAAGACTCTTTCTGTGCCTGGATAGTCCTCTGCTCGGCTTCACTTATGTCTGCCACCAGGTCTGCCATGAGAGCATCTAAATCTTGGTCTTCCAGGGCATTTAAGGATTCTAATAGGGAAAGTCACATGAATGATAAAAATAACCATTTGCACCTGGAAAAACTAAAAGAGGATCATTTTGAAGAGTAATATTTGAGTAGGGGTTATCATTAGTTTGACTTTTTAGGATATAATGGGAAAGGTTGAGAATATTTCTATTTAATAGTGCACACGCAAGCATAGGAATTCCTAACACGATTGTTGCTGTAGCTGTTGAGTGATTAATGTGAGTCAGCTTCTGACACCAAGAAAGGGAGAAAATGTATTCTCTACACTGGGGCACCTCACAAATCAACCATAAAGTCAAATCCAAGCACCAGAATAGATGCCTAAGTAGGGAATTCTTATATATTCTAGTGCAAGATCTTAGAGTTTTAGAAAAGTGTGGGGAGTATATTGTAAAAGGATGGAAGGGGAGTTCTCCCCAAGCATCTGGAGGGCAGAGAGAGAGTACTGCTGATTGATTATTTGGAAGAAATTGAGTTTCAACCAACTGGGGTTTAATAAACTTGAGACTTTGGGATGAAGATAGAGCTTCTCAGTAGGCTGACCACTCAACTATAGAAAAATCTCACATTCAAAGAAAAAGCAATTAAGGATGAATAGCAGGAATGTGTCAAGGAGTAAAAAAAAATTTAATGGGATTAAATGGTAAAGACTTTATGAAGATGGTGAGCTGGGAGTTAACTTTTAGAAGAAAGAGTAGACATGGATTTTCAGAGTGAAGGGGAGAGGGGACGGTTCACCTTAGAATTTCTTCCAGGCGTGAGATTACTGCCATAGATCAGATGTGCGATCCTGAAAGTGGATTAGAGTGTGTGGCACAGTGGCAGAGGTGCTGGAGTGTAGTGTTAGCAGAGCACTTTGAAGAAGCCTTTCATGTCGAATGTAATGAACGCAGGTGGGCAGGATGGGAGTGATCCAGCTGCCATGGGTATGGCCAGCTGGGAAAAGGAAATGGGAGCAGTGGACACAAAGCCTACTCAGTGGCAAATACGCAGAAGGCTTTGTGGAATAAGTCATCGCCAACCACTGCCACCATGAACGCCATGCAGCACATAGCATTAATGCTGAGAGTCCTAGTTGGACTAAAGTTCAGATTTTCTAAATAGGTAAGTAAGGCTTATTTTATTATAAGCCATTTTTTTACATAAAACATCTTTATAAAATTAGGTTGAGTTAATTTAAAATGTTTTCAGAGGAAATACATGTAGATCTAAAGAAGTATATTCATCATTTTCTAATGTAATCGCTCACACTGTGCCTCTTGACCTATAAACCTTTTACTACATTATAAAAATTTTAGGAATAAAATGCCCATAATGATACTTATATTAACAATTTCCAAAGCAAGCTTAATATATTAAATTATTATATTATTCATTCACACATTACTAATATATTAGTAAAGGATCCTAAATTATCAATATAGGTTAAATGTATTAATATAGATTAGTTAAATTTATGAATACGGAATTGGGGAATGAGATAGAAATGAATTTCACTCTGAAGTTTGTTACTGACTCTCTGAATGACTCTGGACAAAATATTTTGAACTCAGTTTAGAAATTTAGTAATGTTTTTCCTAATCTAATTCCCAAGAAATTTCATTTTCTATATACATCAGTAGTTTTTAATGGTCTTATCCCATGCCCACATTAAGTTATGTTTATATACTTTATCTCCTGAATGAGTTTCCTTTTCTGTCCTGTAACATTATTATGTTTATATATTGCTGGTTTCTTTGTTTTATCATTTTCGGCACTTTTTTCATACCAGGCACTAAATTAATGCATACAAAACATTGGTTGAGCCAACTACATTTGAACCGAAATACTGATTAAATTTTAATTTTAATTGAAGTGATTACAAAGCACTCAGCTGTTATGAGTGTGGTCAGGCTAAATCTGCTTCATTCGTATGTGCAAGTATGTGTTATCTATTGCTGTCATAATTTTATAAAAGTGGATTACTTTTTTAAACTTGATGAATGTTACCACCTTGGTGGAAATGACTGGCAGAAATAATAGGTTTGTATGTGGCAAATAGAAAAGAGTATAGGAAAAAGAGAAAATCAGAAGAGGCATATTATAGTCTATCAAGAAACACTCACTGTCACCAAATTGTTTATCAAAAAACTACTGAAAATTACGGAAATAAGAAAATCCAGTGAGGTATATAAATAAAACTTAGAACTCTAGATTCCTGTAACTGGACTTCTCCTTTATTTTGCTTTTTATATTGTTGGTAGGCACTTTAAGTGTTTGGTGAATTTTTTTAAGAGTTCCAGTGAATTCTATTAATTTGGAAGTGACTGCTTCAAGATGTATTGTAATTTGAACAGCACATGGGCTAAAGATGTGTCTCCACTAAATAAAAAGAGAGATTTTTATTAATAAAATAAAGTGACAAGCTCAGAAAGAATTTAAAAATGTCAAGTAAATTACACATGCATTTATTACATACAAATTAAAATATGTTACATTTTAATTAAAATATTATATTATATATTGAATCATTAATAATTATGAAATGGACAGTTCATTTTTATCCTGTAATAAAGAAAGGGACATTTCTTTATTAATATTTTGTTATACTACTCCTTGTTACTCTAAGGGCTTAGTAATAAAAAGAATCCCCTCTTACTTCAAAAAATAAGATCATTTTGAGACTTTTCACAAATCAAGATGGTGTTCCCTTTCATTAAAGTCAAAAATATCTTTTTGACTCTCTCAATTCAATCCAAACACAGTAAAACACCATCTGAAATCCAGGGATTTTAACAATGATATTTATCATGATGTCAAAGTTCTTTTAGTTTTGTTTTCAAATTACAGTTCGATAGATATTTTAGTCATCCTTATGATTTCAAACTACTTAAGAAAACAAATTGTTATGCTTACCATTTAAATCTTTAAAACCCACACTGTAGTTAAATTCAGCTCTGGGTGGTTTAGGGTCAGGAGGAGGAAGAGTGTCGACTCCTAAACTCTGTGAAAACAGATCCCACCCCCCAAAAAAGTTATTCATAATACAAACATTTATGTAGCACAATTTAATCAGCAAGTTAAAAACCATTTACTATTTATAAATTTTCTCTTTAAGTGTGTTCTCTAAAGCCACATTCTCACTTGAAAATATTTTGTGATTTTTTTTTTTATCCTACAGAAAACTACAACTTAAAACATTATTCTAGAAGGAACATCTTGAAACAGAATATGTCAATTGAGAATGATGAGAATGAGCTAGTTGAGTTCATTTTTTATAAAGAACAGGAAAAGTGTCTTGTAATGATGAACACATACACCATATACATAATTCTATATGGTCTTAAGTAATGACATCAAAAGAAGAAATATCTAGACACTTGGAGGAGAAATGCTGTTTCAGGATGGGATCTGCCATTATACAATAAAATGTTATGCTGTTACTCTTCTTCCTTAGACAAAGTGGGGCCTTTTCCTTACCCTGAAATCTTGGCACCCACCTGTTGGGAGAGCTCTGGTAGCCAAGCAAACCCCATGGCTACACCCCCTCGGGCACAACAAAGAAATGACAAAAGCCAAAATGGCCTTGAGTAAAGGCAAGTCCAAGAGACTCCTATGGGCTGTTTCCAGTCTTAAGTGACAGTAACAATACTTAAATGTGGTCCCATGAAAATCCCAGACTCCGACCAATCAGAGCAGTCACTTCCCCCGGGGGCTGCAGGAGTTCAGGAAAGGACTGAGGGAGGCCACAGATGCCCACTCAAACCCTCCCCCTCATGGGAGGAAAAAGCAAAGTCCCCATCTGCAGGAATGTGGCCGCCATTCCAATGCTCACCTTTCCTTAACCAGCACCCCTTCCTCTAAGCCTACTGTCTCTTATTTTATCTCTTCTTTCATAGAATCCAACTTCCTTGGATCTTATTGGGAGTATAAAGTAGATGCTAACTGAAATCGGTCTAAAACTAAAATAAACAGTCTTTCAAAACATTGACTATTCATTTATTTTGCAGAAAACTTTTAAACATTCCTATCTTACTTAGAAATATTGGCTTATGCTTCTTTTGCTATTTTATGCAGAAAAGTGCTGAGCTGACGGGCCTCTGAATCAAAGCAGCATTTAAGAGAGCACTAAGAGACACACTAAAGCTCGTCTGGCTTTGTCACCTGGCTGGGTGGCCCTGGGGTCAGAAGCCACTGGGCTCCAGTGGGCCTGACAGTGGGGGTGACCTCGGAGTTCACCTGTCTTAGTGCTGGTGGCTTTGCTCAGACTTGCAGCCTATGGCTGGGTGGTTTTCACGCTCCTTTGTGGGGACTAACTTCCCACGGTCTGATCAGGAGGCCATGAGAACTCGTACTTAGCCCTTTAAAAATGTAGCATTTTCTCAAAGGTTGGTAAAAACTTTCCTAAAGGTGATGTCATTTTCTTAGCTAGCCTTTACAAAGGTGACAGCAGGGGAAATTGCTCAGTGGCAGTAGTTGTGGGGGGATACGCTCGAGGGAAATTCCTCTATTGGTGAATGTTTGGACGCTACTAGCCTGATGTGTGTGTGACCAATGCAGTAAATTAATTGCACTCAGAAGGGCACAGCCAGGAAAAAGCTTTATTTTCCCTGTCACTGTCATAGTTACCTCAGGAAAAGATAATATTCGTAATCAGCAGGATTCCTTTTGAAAGACAGTTCTCTTGTCAAATTAACATCAAATTCTGTAACCCCAATTTTTCTTTCTAATTTGCAAGTTAAGAAGGGAAGTTTACCTGGGTCAGAAGATCCATCTCCCCCAGCAAAGTGCTGAACATTTGGTCTATGTCGTCACTTGATTCACCCATCTGAAAAAGGAAGGAATCCAGATATTAACCGTTTAATCAAAGCCCGATCCTGGGATAACCATCCCATCTCTTTCTTTTCTTTTTTTTTTTTTTTTTGAGACAGAGTCTCGCTTTGTTGCTCAGGATAGAATGAGTGCCGTGGCGTCAGCCTAGCTCACAGCAACCTCAAACTCCTGGGCTCAAGCAATCCTGCTGCCTCCCGAGTAGCTGGGACTACAGGCATGCGCCACCATGCCCGGCTCATTTTTTCTCTATATATTTATATATTAGTTGACAATTAATTTCTTTCTATTTATAGTAGAGACAGGGTCTGGCTCTTGCTCAGGCTGGTTTCGAACTCCTGACCTTGAGCAATCCGCCTGTCTCGGCCTCCTAGAGTGCTAGGATTACAGGTGTGAGCCACCGTGCCCGGCCAATCCCATCTCTTTCTTTTCCCCAAGAGCCCCGTCCATGCGTAGGTGAGCTGGGAAGAGAAGTACATGAAGAGGAATGTTCACTATAGTCTGAAATTCCATGCCTGATCTCTACCTAGTTTGCTGGACCTAGATTGAGCCAAAGCTCTGGAACTGCCTTAGAACCACAGCTGAACTTTTCCAAACTAAACGGATCTCCTTGGGGCAGAGTAGACAAAGTAGATGTCATTTAGGAAGTCATCTCACCATCATGGATGGCATTTACTTTGTCCACTCGGCCCCAAGGAGACTCTGTTTATTGCAGCCAGAAGAAGGGAAGAAAGAAAGCTCCCCACTCTGATTGAAGAGGGGAGTTAATGTGAAGATTCACTCCTGTGTGGTTTTATTCCTTTCCAATTGCTTACTAAGTATCTGATCATACCCTCCCTTCTTCAGATTTCCTACAAAATAGCAGAGAGTAAATAGAGGATATATCCATGGTTTCACAAACTGTCTCCTAAAATAATTAACATGGTATTTAAAATCCTGTAATGGGGTTTTACTTATTACTTTAATTAGGGGAAATTAGCAGAATAAACAATAAAATTCCAAAACTGCTCATGTGAATTTATTTCCATTTGAGTACAATAGTGTGACAAAACAAATAATTCAGATGAATTGTTATTAACAGAAAAACTTAAGAGTATTAGTGTACTTCCAATTATTTTAATAAGAGTAATCCATTCAGAGTGAAAAAGTAGATTTATTTGCTGACCTCAAAACTGCCAACCAGTGGTACAATAAACTTATAAGATGCAAAGATGACGCCAGTAGTAAGATTCTTGTCATTATGTGTTCTCTTAAACCATAAGCCATTCAATTTGGAAAAGCACTAAAATGACAAAGAATGAGGTCTTAAAAGGAAATGGGGCATCGATGAGTCAGGAAAGCCCATTGAGCCCAAAGACCTTAGTTTCTCAACCTGTACAAACCAACAATGGGTTAAGGACATGCCGGAGTGAATCATCCATCTAAGATGGAAAAAACTCAAAAATAACAGAATATTCTCGTGACCTCTCCTGAAACTCTCTCTGTGATCGTCTGGTAAAAATCTTACCCTTGCTCTTTCATTCCTTTCCCCCAGAGTCTGGTATCAAATTATTTTAATTGCAGAATATTGTAAGGGTACAGATGTTTTGGTTACATGGATTGCTTTTGTACTGCTTGAGACAAAGTTATAAGTGTGTCTACCTCCCAGATAGAGTTCATTGTACCTGTTAGGTATGATTTCACCCACCTCCCCTTCCCCGCTGTGCTACTGAATTATTAAAAGGACTAGACATCAAAATTGTGCTATAAACCTACAGCCATAAGTCAACATGCTAATGAATGGGTCACGGTTTAAAAGAGTTGCATCCTTGGTGAAAGCAATAAAACATTTAACTTAAGGGCATTTTAAACAAATTTTTTTATTAATCTGTATGTGTGTGTGTGTGTGTGTGTGTATACACACACACACACACATAAGGGTGAGAAAATAGGGCTGTGCTCATTTGTATGTGTGACATTTTCCAAAGGTCAAAATAAAGATTAAAAGAGAAAATACCCAGCCCTGAGAGCTAAAAGTGTTAATCAAGTTAGCAACCCAAAGGATTGGTGCAGAGTGGCCAGAGAGAAGCAACATATTGCAAAACAAGCCATGTTCACATCATGACTGGGTGGGATAAAAATCTTTTGAGGAGTGTGTCATTTCTGAGATCATTGTGGATCTTGGAAAGAATAACAAATTGTTGAATAACAGAGCAAATCAGAATAATACTTTGCCAAAACCTGCCTCAGACTTCCTGAACAGCAAGAGAATTTTCCCTAATGTTCAATATTTCCCTAAGACTCAAATTTCTGGACCTTGGTTTTTATCCTCAAATAGTTTCTCTTTGCCATATCCATAAACGTCAAAAAATATATATTTTAAACATCTATGCTAAGTACTCCACTGCATATGTTTAACAGGACATATATTTACATCTATGGCAAAGTTAACCTCATATGTTTAACTCGGTTCTCAGTTTGGATGCAGTTTGGATGAGCAAATCCAGCCATGATTCTGGACCCAGATCAGGGCACCCCTGATTGTATCTGTCAGAGTAGCTCCCCTAGAGACCTGACCAGATTAAAAATCTCTGCACAGCCAAGGAAACCATCATGAGAGCAAACAGACAAACCTACAGAAGAGGGGAAAATATCCACATGCTACATATCCGAAAAGGGCTGATAACTAGAATCTATATAGAACTCAGGAAAATTAGCAAGAAAAAATCAAACAACCTCATTAAAAAGCAGGCAAAGGACATGAACAGAAATTTTTCAAAAAAAGACAGATTAATAGCCAACAAACATGAAAAAATGCTCAACATCTCTAATCACCAGGGAAAGGCAAATCAAAATTTGATCCAGCAATCCCACTACTGGGCATCTACTCAAAGGAAAAAAAGACATTCTATAAAAAAGACATCTGCACTCGAATGTTTATAGCAGCACAATTCACAATTGCAAAGAGGTGGCAACAACCCAAGTCCCATCAATACATGAATGGATTAATAAAATGTGATATATGTACACTATGGAGTTCTACTCAGCCACAAAAATCAGTGGTGATCTAGCACCTCTTGTTTTATCCTGGATAGAGCTGGAGCCCATTCTACTAAGTGAAGTATCACAAGAATGGAAAAACAAGCACCACATGTACTCACCAAGAAATTGGTATTAACTGATCAACACTTTTGTGCGTGTATGGAAGTAACATTCATCAGGTGTCAGGCAGGTGGGAGGGGGAAGGGAGGACGGGTATATTCACACCTAATGGGTGCGGTGCGCACCATCTGGGGGATGGACATGCTTGAAGCTCTGACTTGGGTGGGGCAAAGGCAATATGTGTAACCTAAATGTTTGTACCCCTGTAATATGCTGAAATAAAAACAAAACAAAACAGTCAACTCAATGTCCCCTTAGCCTGGCTAATGGCCACTAGTTACTTTCAGTCTGATTTAGAAACCCTGGCGCAGTTCTCCCCTCCTCCCCGTTTTCCATGCAGTCGGTCGGGAAATCCTGCTGGCTCTTCCTGTGGAGGGCGTCTGCTTCCTTCATTCTCACTGGCAAGCCCCAGTTGAGACCCTCAGCAGCTCACCCAGCCTCCGGTCTCCTGGACTCCCCCTCCATACTTGTCACCACCACCACCACTGCTAATTCCGAAACACACGTGAACGAGTCACTCTACCGCTTGGAAACCTTCTGCAGCTGATCATGATGGCGTGCGAAAGCTCAGCGTGTCTTTCAAAGTCCTTCACGGTCTGCCCCAGCTTTTCAGGGTTCGACTCTTGCTATTTAGGGCCGTTGATGTTCTCTGAGCAGGCTTTTTAGAACTCTCTTTGTCTTTCCATATGCTATTCCTTTTACATAGTATCCTCCTCTGTCCATATCTCCTTCATAAAATTCTATTTATCATGCAAAATCCAGCTTTCGTGTCAACCCTACAGCAGTGGTGTCTTCACACCCAGGAGACAGCACTGCTGTCCACTGCACTGCTCAACATAGCAGCAAATCCTGGCCCCGAGAACCGCCCTGATAAGGTATTCAACCTCCCTGCTTTCTACTTCCTTGTCTGTAAAATGAGGGGAATAATAATTCATGATTCATAGGACTGTTGTGACATTTGAACAAAATAGCACACAGGACTTGGCATAAGCACTTGATCATAGCATTTACTACACTGAATCACATTATTTTTGTTGTCCTGCTAGAACCTCTCAGAAGATTGGGAGATGTTATTAAGTAAGAATCAGTTCTTGTTTATCTTTGTATTCAAAATGCTTCATTGAATGCCCAGAGATTAAGTAATTTCCCAGATTAACGGGAAGAGCTGGGCTGGAGCCCCAGTCTCAGGGCTGCATAGAAAGTTCTCTGTCACTCCACTGGCTCCTCTCTCGACATGGTTCCTGTTGTGCCACACTCAGAAATGTGACGTTCCAGGGCACGGCAGTCCTTAGAGGTCACCAAATCCCACGTTGCCTAGAATTATCAAGGCAATTAAACAGAAAGTCTATTTCTAAGCTGTTGTCAGAGCTACACGTTTGTGGAACTGCACTCACTATAACAACACTTTTCCTTTTTCAGTGCTTTCCAAATATTGATATTTACACACATGAATTTTGTTGGTAAACACAAAGGTTTCACTGGGGCTCACGTATAACTAGGCCTGAATCAGTTTTCAAACCAAAAATTTAAGTTGCTTTGAGGAAAATTCTAATAGCTGTCATGCAACTTGAGTGACATTATCAATAACTTTCCTTTTTTTCTAATTCGATTTGAAGTCAGTTAATATTTCAAGTACTAGGTTAATCAACCATGATTTAATAAATAACAAGTTATGTTTTCTATCCTAATGATTCCTTTATTCACATGATATATCTAATTAATTTCATTTCACCTTTCTAAAGTTGCTTTAATGTGTAACAAAAATGAACACACATAGGAACATGTTCAAATACTTTTTTATAACATATATGTCATAATTTCTTGTTATGAATTGAATTTCAATTTAATATTATTAAA